TTTTTTTTTTTTTTTTAAATGGGAGACAGTTTCACTTTGATGCACTTGGTAGAGTGCCATGGTGTCATAGCTCACAGCACCTCAAACTCTTGTGCTCAAGTGTTCCTCTTGCCTCAGCCTCCTGATTAGCTGGGACTACAGGTGCCCGCCACAACGCCCGGCTATTATTTTGAGACGGGGTCTCATCAGGCCGGTCTGGAACCTGGAGCTCGGGCAATCCACCTGCCTCGGCCTTCCAGGCTGCTGGACTTACAGGGGACCGTGCAGCAGCGCTCAGGCGCACACCTATAGCTAATATACAAATTTATCTGAAAGCCAGAGGCCGTGGGAGTTCCTCTCATTGGGTGTTGGAGTCACAAATGTGGCGGTACAGAGCTGTGAGGTTGGGGACTGGAGAACAAGTGGCCGAGCCTGCTTTCCCTCCGGCAGATGGCCGCCCCTGGCGGTGCCCCACAGCAGCAGGGCCCCGTCGCCCAGCAGCCGTCTGCGCAGGGGCCCGTGGCACCGGGCAGCGAGGCCCAGCTCATCTCATTCGACTGAGCCGGACGGGGAACTCACGTCCAAAGTAACACTAGGTCCACCCAAACCGCTTCTGTCTCTAACTGGGTGTCGTGTCCGCCTCCCTCCTCCCCCCAATAGCCTCCTTTCTCCGCAGCGCCGAGCCGCCTCTCTTCCTGTCCCCAGCCTGCTGCCCTGCCAGAACGTCTCTTAATTTTTTTCCCCAGAGCTGGGCCTCGGGGAGGGAGGGTGGGAGGAGAGGACCATCCCCGAAGGCGCACCCCCAGCCCGTGCCTCGGGTCTGTACGAGTGGTTAGAGCGGGACCCTAGACCTTCTGCCGGCTGCTATGCGGTGTCCAGCAGCGGCCTCCGCCCCTCCCGGCCCCTTCACAGCACGGAGGAGGCGAGGCTCCGCGTCTCCAGCTTCTCTGCTTCTCAGCTGCCATCTCCAGTGCCCCAGAACCGAACAGTGATAATAAAAAGTATTTAAAGAAGTACCGGTGTTTACTTGGAAAGGGGACAGTGGGCCGCGCTCCCCTCAGGCGGGCGATGGGAGGCCGGCCCGGCTACGAGGGACGGGCAGGAATAAGTGGGCAGGTCCTGGCTCGGCTACCCTGGAAAACCGCCTGTGGGTTTAGGACTTTGGCTGACAGAGGGAGTGGTGCCGCTGTCGGCACTAGGGAGACGGGGAGTGGGGCGGGAAAGGCGCTGGGGGAGACAGAAGCAGGGAGTAGGGTCTCCGTTCCGTGGCCCGGCTAACAGCCTACAGCTAGTGCTGGACTGCACGGAAAGCGCGCCTCTACTCATCCTCACTGCGTCTGCGTGGCGCACGACCTCGTGAACAGAACCGGAAAGAGGAAACGAGTGCGAGGAGTGGCTAGAGCGTCGTCCTCCCCCCCCCCCTTGTTGGTTCCGCGGCCTCAGCGGCTAGAGCGTCCTTCCACCACTCGAATGCCCAGCACCGTGGCGGCTAGAGCGTCGCCTCCTCCAGGGGAGCCGCGTGTGACCTTCCAGCGGCGCGCAGATGCTGCCGGTGACCGCTCGCCCCCTGTTGGGGCAGTGTCTCGGGTTTCGGGGCGCTGCGCTCCGTCTCGCCAGGTACCCTGGTCCCCCGGGGCGCCAGGACGGGCCAGTGGGCTGGTTAGGGATGTGGGGCCGTTCTGGAGTCGGGTGGCGGGCCGGCCCTCTCGGAGGTTCCGGCCGGCTGCATGGGCGGGAATCTCCCCGTACGCACCCCAGTCTTGCGCTGTCTCGACGCGGCGAGTACTGGAGTCGGCCTCGTATGACCTTGAACGAGTTCTCCCCCTCTCTGGGCTGCAGTTCTCTCCGCAGCAGGGCCCAGTCAGTGCGGGCCCCACGTTCACAAGGCGCTGGGCTGCAGATTGCGCCCAATCAGTGGTTCTTCCTTGTGGGGTTGGCTTTTCGGGTGGTATTACTGCAAATGACCATGTGGGTTTCTCAGGATCCTTGGAGAATTTAACTGGGAACCCCTTTATCCTCTTGGACCCACTGGAAGTCTGAGAACCCTGGGCCGGGACACAGAGCAGCCAGGTCACTCCCATTCCGAGCTGAGCTCGTGGCAGCCACTTGTTTCCCTGTCTCTGGGTTTCTGTGCACTCCTTTGCCCTCCAGGGCTGACGGCTCTGTTTGAATGGGGGGAGCTAGGCAACAGGTGCCAGGTGTCTGTGCAGTGCGACAGATGAGGAGCAGCAGCCAACGGAAGGGTGAGGCCCTGGCCGGTGCTCCACTGGATAACGCCCCCAAGGAGTATCCCCCCAAAATCCAGCAGCTGGTCCAGGACATTGCTGGCCTCACGCTCCTGGAGATCTCAGATCTCAATGAACTTCTGAAGGTATCAAAAGGGATCTGGGAATAGCCGGGCGTTGTGGCGGGCACCTGTAGTCCCAGCTACTCTGGAGGCTGAGGCAAGAGAATCACCTAAACCCAAGATCTGGAGGTTGCTATGCGCTGTGATGTCATAGCACTCTACTAAGGGTGGACAAAGTGAGGCTCTGTCTCTTAAAAAAAAAAA